ACTGAACCTGTAATCTAAAAGTAGAAAAGTGTCAAATGAAAACTTTTAACTACCTATTCTAGATATCATTAAAATTAAAACATGAATTTATGATTTTTTCCATTATTTAATAGTATTTTAATCATTTAAAACAAATTAATTAGAATAACAATTTTGGTAAGAAGCAATTTCTAAACTTCTTCCACTTTTTATATAATTGGTATGTTTTGTCAGGGCAACGTAACGTGTTATTTTTTTTTATAAAAAACATTACGTTGCCCTGAACGTTTTTAAATAAAAACAGGGTCATGGTAAAATGATAAAATAAAATTATAATGCAAGGGCCAAACTGTACAAGGGTCATATTGAGAACTTTTGGTATAATACGGATCCAAAAGAGTTATAAGCTTTTACATTATATAATAATTTATAATATAAAATATACAAATGATCCTAAGTATAGATCTCTACTTTGTTAAATTTTCTAACTATTAAAAATTTACAAAATAATCCCTTAACTATAAGATAATTTTTTGTTGAATATGTCCTATTAAAATTTACAAAATGATCATCCGACTATTCAAATATTCGAAACTCGTTCTTTTCAATTACAAAATTGATAATATCCTGAATTGAACGTAACTTGTTGAATGAGATATGATAAAATCATATTTTAATAGTGTTTACAAGCACTATCGTCACTTTCAAGCACTGACTCGATGATATAATATTTTAAGCACTGACACAACGACATAATGTTTCAAACACTAACTTGACGACATAATTTAAATAAAGAATCAATCCACAAAATACAAGTCAAACGACATAAAGTAAATAGAGAACCAATGCACAAAATACAAGTCAAACGATTCTAGAATCAAATTTTATATCTTTGTCAATAGATTAACGTCACTCTTTTTACAAAAATGATGAATTTGAAATATATGAATAGTCAGATAATTATTTTGTAACTTTTGATAATCGGAGGACTCAACACGATAACACCTTATAATCAGGAATCATTTTATAACTTTTTTATAATTAGAGACTATGTTATAACTTTTAATAGTTGGGGCTCAACCATAAAAAAAATAGTTGGGCACTCAACATAATAATACCCTATAGTCAAAAGGACCATTTGTGTATTTCACCTTAATTTATATTGGACCGAGTCAATGCAGCGTAAGGCGTGGAGAATTTTGGTATCACAATTCAACCTATGAATAATCAAGCAGTTACTGGACATGTGATTGACCCACCAAAAGGCAATATAGCATACTCATGTTCATGAATCATCAATAAACAAGTGCTACCAATAATCATACATAAGCTATAACAAGAAACTAGATTCCAAATATTGAGAATGTCATTTCTTGAAGGCTGAGGTAACTTACAAGTTTAAGGAAATATACTTTATTAAACTTAAAAGAATATCTATTAAATAGACAAGGAAAACATAGTCTGGAACATGATATTGCCTCACATCATACAACAGTTATGCTGTGAATTGAGCATCTCAGGAGATCTGCAACAGTAAATGTGTTTGTTAGCGAAGAATATTACGGAAGTTCTTACGTAAAAACGACAACCAAAAACAGAAGTCCAGATTTTCGAATCACTCAAAATCCTCAAGTATGATCACTTGACTATGGAGATTCACAAACGAATGGTTAGTTAAGATTGTGGCAAATAATAGAGCTCTTACAGTTGGCCAAGACTGGATAAATCGAATTCAGGAGCAAGCTCTTGCACGATATCATTTGGAGGCTGACCGCACTCTTGCATTTTTTGCATGAGGTCAACGATCCTGGTGAAGTTATTAGGATTGTTTTCATAAACTCCGTTAAGCTCCTTTATCAGTTCATATTGATGGGAGTAACGTTCATATTCTTCTTTGCTCAAATTAGCTTTATTCTCTTCCAACCACTGCGGGTATCTTTCTCCGATTTCCTTCATAGGTTCATGAAGGATCTCCTTAGATAGAAGTTGTTGCATCATAGTCTCCGCAATCGATTCCATGTCCTGGTCAAAAGGAAGGAATAATTATCATCCCTTAGCATATGCTATTAGTGAAACCTAAAAAATTTGATAACACATACAGGAACTATGGTCAACATATTAGAAGATAGGACATGCGTAAGAATAAAAATAAGCCCTCGATTGTTTAAGGTAATACATGTTCATATGTATGCATGTATTCAGTATCTGCACATCCATTCAAGCATGCATACAACATTCAGCAACAGACAATTCTATTACTAGAAGTAGATGACTCAATCGGCTATATAACTTGACAAATTTAAAATTTTCAAATGCAACTCAACTAGGATGAGTTAACGAATGAAAACCTATCTATTTAAGGCATATGATGCCAGGCTTGCGAGCCATGAGAAGTGATGAAAGAGTGCTAAAACACAATTACGTCCTCCTTAAAGCCAACATTTTTCTTAGGGCTTCTCTCACTGCCTCCTCTATTGCAACATATGGAGGATCATTTATACACCCAAAGCGCTTTGTCTGAATATCATTATCAACAAAAGTTCGACTTTCCTTTCAGGAAATGTTTCTAGGCTGGTGAGAGGTGGGTTCAGAGGAAGCTGGAGAAGGTTAGTTTCAAAGATTCATGAACTTGAGGTACTTTAATTCAAGCAGATATAACAAACATTATCATACTCCTATATGACGAAGAACCCGTTCCATGCCCCCTCTCCACACCAACATACAACTGGACAACAGTATCCAGAGCCGACAATTAAAAATCAAGCCAAGTAAATCTTATCCAAATAATTGAATCATATTCTAATGTATAATAGCAATAGTCAAACTCCAACTTCGGAAATAAGGATCAAGGATCACAAAGAACGAGTTTTAAACTTAATGAGCCAAAATCACAACTACAGCAAAACCAAACCGAGGTATACAATATCTACCCAAAACTCTGCAATAGCAAACAATTGTAAAGATTAATAAACAAAGCATTAAAAGGAACAAGAAAACATCTGAATCAAATATACCTGAGACCCAGCAAGCTCCTCAAACTGCTTGACCCAATCCTCCATCATTTCATCCTTATCAAAATCATCTCCACCAGGTATCGACATCGATTCCAATCCTTTTACAGTCTCTCTGGTCTGTTCTCTGAGTTTATCAAGAGCCTCGGAGACATGGGATTCCTTTAAAACCTTTTGCTTTCCCCTTTTCTTGCTCTTCAAGTCGGTAATCCCATTCCTAACCCTTGAACCCCACTTGGTAAAGAACCAGATTCTTGCTTCTTTGGTTCACCATCTCCTCCACCTGACCTATTAACCAAAAATAAAGCTAAACAAAAACTAAACCTCGGGCAAAGTACCAGAATATTATCCAATATATCTAATAAAAAATCTAACTTTTGAGAGGGTTTTTTTTGGGGGGGGGGAAGCTAGAAAGGGAATTTTTAGTTTGGGGCCAAAATTTTAAACCTAGAACATAAAGGGATAAAAATTCATGAGAAAAAGATGATACCTTTGAGGAGGAGAGGTGAGATTCTGGAAATCATCCAAAGCACCTGAAATAATAATTAAAAAAAAGGTTCAATTCAGAAGTTTGAGAAACATAAATTGAGGGAAAAAATACACATTGAGATTTTAGATACAGAAACTTACTATCAAGAAGTTGGTCTAAATCATCAGGGTGGTCAGCCATTTTTGCTATCAGAAACTTAAAATCCTCTGTTTCTCTCTCTCTCGCTCTCTCTCTCTCGATATATATAGAGCTAATGTCAAAGTAGTGATTTTTGTTTTGGTTTTTGCATTTTATGGAATCTGGGTTGATCTGAATTGGAAAAGGAAGAGCAATCAGGCGGTGCAACCGATATGGGCGGAGTGAGGATCAAGATCCAACAGTGGAGGTTGCTTCGACGGATTGACTGATTTTTGACAAATTATTTGTCACAGGCTGGAGTTCTGGGCTGCACGTTTGTTCTTTCGGCTTTTATAATTGTTAAGTACAAGGAAATAGTATTAACAAATTCTGAAAAATTTTACCAAGTAATAATATCGTTTTTAAGGTTAATTAAATTATTATGCACAGTAATTAATTTTAATATTATTAAATAATAATATTATACACACTTGTTTATGTGAGTATTTATTATGATTAAAATATTATGTATTAAATATTATTTTAGTTTATTTTATTATAAGAATTTTAATATCTATTAGGATTAAAATTTGGCATAATACAAATAAATAGCCCTAACGTTTGATAATATATGCAAATTTGTCCCATTTTTCTTTTTGAAACATTTGACCTCACAACGTTTTATTTTGATTAAAAAATAATCCCCGTTGGATGAAAACCGTTAGTCAACTGACGGTCAATAACTCCAGCTGACTAATTAAGCACAAGTGAACACAAATAATGACGTGATGTGTCCACGTCACTAATGTATAATGACGTGAAATTGACAAGAGCAGCACGTGTAACTCTCCTATTGATGTAGATTGAGAAAAATGAATTAAAACCATTCTATGTGTGAGGGGACTTGAACCTAAGGCAAAGGCATGAAATGATATGTATCTTGCTACCAAACCAAACATACTACTTAATTTTGTAATGAAACAAAACCTTATTTAACCCTTAAAAATGTTTAGTTTAATTTAAACAAAATAAAACACTCGTTTCAAATATCTCACAGCCATCCTCAATATTCGTCGCGCAACATCAGTCTCAGGTCTCTCTCTCTCTTCTGTTTATCCGATCAATCTTCGGCTCTTTTAGCCACATTTACATTGAAAATCGTGGAAAACAAGAGAAAATAAAAACTTTCGTCTCTGTTTTCTTTAAGAACATGAATTGGTTTCACTTTAAAAATCATGATCTTTTGTCTTAGATTAAAGAACTTCTTTCGTTTTTTCTTTTGTTATGAGTTTATTCATTTTTTTATGGCGATGAAGGTGAGGAAGAATGTCTCACAGAAAGTTTGAACACCCAAGGCATGGTTCGCTTGGATTTCTTCCTTAGAAGTGAGCTTCTCGTCACAGAGGGAAAGGTTATTTGTCTTTATTTCTGTTAATTTGTCCGTGATGTAGCTGTAAAAACTATAGTTTTGAGTAAGCTATATTTTATGTTATCTAAAAATGCAGTAATTAAATGATTATATATATGTTGGTGTTATTTTGCGTTGGTACAGTGAAGGCATATCCAAAGGATGACCCAAGCAAACCTTGTAAGCTCACTGCCTCTTTGGGTTACAAGGTTGGCATGACACACATTGTTCGAGAGGTCGAAAAGCCCGGATCAAGTAAGTTGATTTTGAATAAGCAACTTGCAATTTATTTCAGTTGTCCTTTCTTTCATCTTTATAAACTCTTGCTTCAACATGTGTTGAGTTTTTTTTTTTCTCTAAATTTTAATGCATTGGTTATGTTGATATACAAGGGAAAGAAATTTACAATCAATGCATTATCTTTTATTGACTTATGTGAAAACAGTGCATTGTAAGTAAAAAGTTTTCCCTGGAACTAGTTTTTATAGGCCTTGGGTTATTCTGATTTCAAACATTTAAATTAATCATGTTTTAGCTACTGTAAATTTGTCAAATATTCAACCTATTTTGTATTCTTTGATTTCGTATAGAGCTTCACAAGAAAGAGACGTGTGAAGCTGTCACGATCATTGAAACTCCTCCTATGGTGATTGTTGGTGTTGTTGGATATGTCAAGACACCTCGTGGTCTCCGAAGCTTGAACACTGTATGGGCTCATCATCTGAGTGAGGAGGTCAAGCGTAGATTCTACAAGCACTGGTGCAAGTCCAAGAAGAAGGCTTTCACCAAGTACTCAAAGCAGTACGAGAGCGAAGAAGAGAAGAAGAGTATTGAGGCTCAATTGGAAAAATTAAAAAATATGCTATTGTTGTCAGGGTTTTGGCGCACACTCAGGTTTTAACAATGTTTCATTTAATCAGTGGCTTGGTTTCATTTTCTTCTTTTCTTTTTGTAAGTGTTAGTTTCAAATGCTTAGTTTCGAGACTTATGATTTCTTGAGATTAACCGTAGATGCCTGTGAAATATTAAAAACATGTATTTTATTTTGTTTAATTAAACTGAACATTTATTATGGGTTAAATAAGGTTTGGTTTCATTACAAAATTGAATAGTATGCTTAGCCTGATGGCAAAAGACATGTCATTTCATGTCCTTGTCCTAAGTTTGAGTCCCCTCAATCGTGAAATGATTTTTATTCATTCTTCTCAATCAGCACCAATAGGAGAGTGACACATGTCGCTCTCTCATTGGCACAAAATTCTCAAAAAATTAATTTTTTATTAAAAAATCTAATGTGTCAATTCTACGTCAGCATGCATTAGTGACATGGACATGTCACATCATCATTTGTGTCCACGTGTGCTTGCTTAGTCAACTGGAGCCGTTGACTGTCAGTTGAATAACGGTTTCCATCCAATAGGGGTTACTTTTAAATCAAAATAAAATGTTGTGGGGTTAAATGTTCTAAAAAAATAAACAATAGGGGCAAATTTGCATATACGGTCAAACGCTAGGGTATTGGTTTGCATTATGCCTTAAACTTTTATACGATATCTACTCATTATGTCTATAAATGAAAAATCTAGATAATTTATTATATATAGTTAATATTAATAAAATAATATAAATTCCTCTCTTTAATTTATATATTTTCTTCTTATTGTTATTCTCGTTGCTTAATTGTTTTTATTTTATAACACATTATCAGCATGACTTGCTCTCATGTGGAGGATCTCATAGCGGAATCGTCATGAGGCTATCCGAAGCGGTGAGTGCAGGATCTCGGAGCGGAAAAGTCGACAGGAAAACTAGTAAGGGTGATCAGTACTGTTGAAAGATATTTGCAATATTTGTTGACAACGTAAGCAAAAGGGTTCATCACCTCACATTGAAGGATTCATTCCAAACATACGGAGAAGTTCTGGATATGTTTATTACTCATTATAATCTGAAGAGGAAATATAAGAAGACGACCTTTGCATTTGTGAGATTCAAGTCTTTGGCAGAAGCAAAGCTCGCGGTTGAGAGAGGAAATGGTAGGTTGGTGGATGGTTATTATATTAAGGTTTTCCTTGCACGAGATGAAAGCGACGCAGTTCCGAAAACAGGAGGTAAAGTGGGGAAGGTGTGTAGGAGAATATTGGAATTAAAAGATTCCAGGATGTTTAAGGAGGTCTTAATTGGGATGGCTAAACTAGTCGAGATGGATAACAGTACGGTGGATGCTAAGGGTGGATAGCATAGTAATAAGAATGTAGTGACAGTTAGTGTTGTGGACGAAGAATCTAGTTTCAATGAAGATACTAATGGTTTTTCTTCAAAACTAATTCATATCTCTAAATCCGAAGTAGAGTGGAAGAATCGTTGCATCGTAGGTTAGATTAAAAGAAAGTACAATTTGGACATTGTTCAAGATGCTTTAGTTTTATATGGCTTCGAGGCTAAAGTGAGTCAATGGCATGACCTTTTTGTTGTGGTGGAATTTGCAAGTAGTGGGAGTTAGCTAGATGATGGAACAATAGAGAGGCTCTAATTTAACTGTGGTTCGACGAATGGGAGCTTTTGGAAGGATACGATGGAAAAAGAAAAATCAAAGTGTGGCTAATTATGTAAGATGTTCCTCCACAAGCATGGTACGAGAAATTCTTCCTTGAGCTTGCCAATAAATAGGGTTTGATAATTCTGATTGATAAAGAAACTCGCAATCGAAAGTAGTTTGATGAAGCAAGGGTATTGATCTCTACCCAAAATTTATGTATTATTCTGGATAAGGTAGATATCTCCATGAATGGATGGATTTATTCTATCAAGCTTTCTGTGAAGAATTTTAAAGAAGATTAGATTTTTCATGACGGTAGAAGTCCATGTGGTATGTATGTTTTCGCAGATTCTATGGTGGCTAATGACTCCACTGAGGGTGGTGAGTGTAGAAACGAGAAAACTAATATTGAGGTATATTGTGATCTTTTTTCATCGACTGTGATTCCAAGCCTGAGTAGTTTGAATGCACTAGTCGAAAAGGAACCAGCTTCTAACGTAATTTTTTTACACGTGATTCACACTAGCTTTAATACGGATGGGTTGCTCGATGTTCTAATCACGTCTTGTGGGCGATTCAGCCTCTTTGATGAGGGGGTCTTCGGTGGGACTCGCAACATTTGTAATAATGTCATGGTGGGCTATAGAAGCCCATCCATTTTCAATGATTCAAAGCTTTTTGAAGTAGCTATCGAAATTGGGAGCACAATTGTAACCATGAACTCTGGGATTTCCGTTAACCAAGAAGACAATAATATGTCGAAGAGGAAAAGCAAGAGAATATCTTTTAGGAGAGGGGGAAAGCAATATCGAAAGGGGTGAGGAATTCACATCCTATGAGTGGTGTTGACACCGGTTTTTGTCCGAGTCTTTTTTATTTTATTTATTATTATTATTATTATTATTATTATTACTAATTATTATTACATTATTTTTGCAGGCTTAATCCCAACCCAGTTACAAGCCCACCAGGAGGCTAACCCAACAAACCTGAAGCCCAATTCCGGAGCCCGATTACAACATCCAGTACAAGACCCAACAGACCACCCAATCTAGCAACCCGACCCAGTTACAACATCCAGCCCTAGGGTATGGTTCTGCCATCGTTGCTTGCTGCTGCTGCCTCCCACTGACGCCACCGTTCCAGTCTGCAGTGAAGAGAAATCTACATCAACAGTAGAAAAAACAGGCACAAATCAAATTTGAAACCCCATTAAAAAATAAGTTAAATCCCAATTTTTTCAAGATTTATCAAAGCAAAAATCTGAAAATTATAACCCTACCCCGTAGATATCATCATCCCATCAGCAAAGGCAAGAAACCATAAAAATAAGAACAGAAGACAGAGAACAAGGGGACATTCGGGTTCAGAGAAAAAAATACCGAGAGCTTTTAAAAAAACAAAGGAAACCCTCACATTTCGTCGAGATCTGGTCAGCTGTGACTGTTGCCACCATCGGAGCTAAGGGGTAAGTTGTACCGAAGGAAAGCTTTCGGTTTCTTTTGGATGTTTTGGTTCGGGGTTCTTTGAGTTCTAAAGGATCTATTTGGGGAGCTTTGAGGGTTTAATGTGGTTCGATTTATAAGGTTTATGAGAGGAAAAGGAGGGTATAGGATTGTTTTGCTTCTTGTGGCCACCGATCAACAATGGCCGGGGAGCTGTGTTTATCTCCTCGTCGAGGAAGCAAAAAGAGAAAATGAAGAGGGGGAAGATAGAGGGAGAGGGGAAAGAGTGAGGCGGCTGAGGGAGTTGGGAAATGAGAAATAAGGGTTTTCAAAACCCTTAAAGCGATATAAATACATAGTGAAACGACACCGTTCAGTGGGTAGAAGGTTTCAGCGTGTTTTTAAAAAAGAGTTAATATCATCTTTAGTCCTTTCTCTTTTGTAACCTCAACCCGTGTTTCTCATATTTCTATGGGGTAATTAGAGTATAGGTCCCTCATTGTCTGTAATCTGTTATTTGGCCATTAATGAAAATGTAACATTTTATTTTGAGCATTATTATTTCATTATTAGTATTTTAGTCCTGTTTTTACTTATTATTCTATTATTTTCAAAATTTGACTTTGGTTGCAATATTTGTAAATATTTTATTTTAGTCACTGTTTGGTATTTGGTTTAATTACTGTTTGATCCTTTAGGATTCTGGTTTATTTTATTTTAGTCATGTATATTATTTATGGGTTATTTACATTTATGGTGCATGTATTATTTAGCATTTGTGATTTGGGCTCTGTTTTATTTGTAATTAATGTTTAGCCCTTTTAGTTTCTGTTAATACCATTTTAGTCTTTTAAATATCTATATTTGCTATTTAGGTCCTTTAACTTTTTGTTCTTACTATTTTAGCCCTTTAAATTTATGTTTGTGCCATTATAGTCCTTTAAGTTTCAGTTTTTACTATTTTTGTCCTTTAAGTTATCATTTTTCTTATGGTTGTCCTTGTAATTTTAAATATTTACTTTTTGACCATTATATTTTGGGTTGCAATAATCGTTTATATTTATTTAAACCAGTATGTATATATTTGTATGTTATGTATTCTTTTGTATCGTATGTAATTAAATATGCTTATCTTTATTTATTGTAAATATTTTTATTCCGCATGTTTCCAATCATCATTGTTTTAATATTAGAAAAATGAGAAATTTAATTATGAGGGAAATCTACGAAGACTTATCCCGACTAAAGGGAAGATGCCTTTCGTGATCTTCAAAATTGAACAGGTTTTTTAACTTGTAATTTTTTTTTCTGTTGTCGTGTTTTTAAGGTTTGTGTGTTTCTCCTCACACACAGCATGTACATTTGCATTTCATAAGCTCATTTACGAGCTTTGTCCCTTTTAAGTTGAGGTGAAAGCTTAGCCTACGTGAGATTATTTGTTTCTCCGCATGGGTTTTAGCTAGTAACCTTTGAGGTTCATATACCTTATGTCTACGTGAGATAAATTGTTTCTCTACACGGACATAAGGGAATGTATCCTTTTGAATTGAAATCGATCTGCACGAGCCTGTAATGGGTCATGATTGAGGGTTTTGCAGCCTAAAGAGGCACTAACATGGAAAATTTGAGTACCTTTTTTCTTAGAACCCAATACCGCATATAGTGAACCATAGTAACCCACCCCGATAAAATTCATGTCGAACCTCTGTCTGTCAGTAGGTACCCGAATTAAGTGTACACAAAGGATAAACAACTCTAAACCTCTTCTCTTTACATGCATTATTTTATTTTCTTGATATTTGTTTGATAATTGAATTCTTTTATACTGACACATTTTCTATATTTAATTTTTTTATATTATTGTTTGACATTGCATGATCATCATCAATAAAAGAAAGGTGTTGATTAACCAAGTAATCATCATAAGTAAAAGAGGAACCATTAAAATGGAAAAGAGTTTTCATAACAAATAAGATCGCAATTCGGTGATCCGAACTTGACATTTTGCCTGGGGATTACGTATCTCAAACCGCATTCATCTATGGATCTCTCTTGTAAAGATGAAAATTCTTTTGGATGAATGGAACTCTTTTTAAAGATGATTACTTTTGGAAATCGATACCTTTTGCATTTGCATTATGTACTGAATTTATTTAAACATTTTCACATTTTTTGCATCTGCATTTGCATATTCGCGTTATGCATGGTATTCATTGAAACATTTTGCATGCATTAATCATGGAATCACGGGGAGGAGTCTGAGAAAGTGCTTCTAATTATGCAACTTTGTTCACAAAGTACTGAGAATGAAAGCCAAATTTCAGAAGCTGAAGAAAGAGCTGAAAGAGAGTTTGGAGAAGATGCAACCAGAGTGGGAAGCCAAAATGGAGCAGATGCGAAAAGCCACAATGGATCGTATCATGCAAAACCAAAAAGATTTACTTGACCAAATGGTAGAAAAATTGAATGTGCTCAACCAAGAAAGAGGCAAAGAGAAGATTTCCTCGGCCGAAGAAGCCTCTGAATGTGTGATGGTACATGCTAATCCACAAATAAACATTTCGTTCCATAAGCTTCCTAGTCATCAAGCACGCTTTTCCTCCACTAAAACTCGTGCAACTGTGCTAGGTCCTCGGGATCATTCTAATGATCATAGATGACAAATCTTGATAAGATGAAAAGAGCCAACAATGAGATCTCTGAGAACTTGAAACAGTGGTGCGTAGAGACCTTCAAAGGAATGAGAGGACAAAGCTCTCACAATGAAATGGATGTAACCGAATTAGTCTTAGTTCCTGACTTGGTGCTTCTGCCCAAATTCAAGATGCTCGACTTTGAGAGGTACAGTGGAACCAGTTGCCCCAATGCACATCTCACGATGTTTATCCGAAGGATGACTGGGTACACCAATAATGATCAGATGTTGATCCACTTTTTCAAGACAATTTGACTAGACCCACTTTAAGGTGGTACAATCAACTGAGTCGTACTCAAATCCGCTCCTGGAAGGATTTGGCTAGTTCCTTACTTAACCAATACAAACACATGAATGATATGGCCCCCTATCGAACAACACTTCAAAATATAGAGATAAGGAATGATGAGAGCTTTCGATAGTACGCACAATGATGGCGATATATCGCATCTCAAGTCCATCCACCAATGACTGAAAGAGAGTTCATCACTATATTCATTGACACATTAAAATTTCCGTATATCAACTACATGGTTGGAGCTACCATGAAGAGTTTATCT